CCCCCGCCAATTTTATACTGATATATTTACAAAGTTTGAATACGTTGTTTTTTACAAAATATCCTTCCCATTTCCTTCACCCCAATCCCCACTGAATTGTGCAACCTTATGATTAACACCCCCCCATCTTTACCCCTTTGTTTCTCCCCTTCCCCCCTTGTATCCACATACTCAATCTATAATAATGATTTTATACAGTATTTGACCTTGTGTGACTGAGTTAGTTCACATAGCATAATGCTCTCTAGGCCTCCCCAAGTTAGGTAGTAATTTACAAAATCATTGCTCCTGTGTGCTGCATAGTATTCCATTGTTATGAATGTATCCCAACTTGTCAATCCATTTGTTTGTGGTTGGACATCTGAGCTATTTCCAAGTGCTTGCGACAGTGTATAATGCTGCTATGAACATTGGTGTACAAGTCTCTGTTCGAGCCTCAGTTCTCATTTTCTTGGGGTATATTCCAAGCAAGGCAATAGCTGGGTCATACGGAATTTCTACGTTCAGCTTTTTGAGGAAGTGCCAAACTGCCTTCCAGAGTGGTTGTGTCATTTTACAATCCCACTAACAATGTAACAGAGTTCCTATCTTGTCACATCCTTTCCAACATTTATAACTTGCTGTCCTGTTAAACTTTACCACTGCTACTGGAGAGAGATGGTATCTCATTGTGATTTTATTTACATCTCTCTTATTGCCAGTGATTCGGAGCATTTCTTCATGTGTCTGTTGGCCATTTGAGTATCTTCCTCTGTGAAAATTCTTGCCATATAGTGACTGATTTTTTAAAACATTTTCAGCTATGATATGGTGTTTGAGGTATGATATTGTAGGAAGTAATACATGTAAATGTATATATATATTTATATTTAGAATGTTGTAATAATTAAAGGAAAAGGAGGAGAATACTAAAAAAGAGTCTTCTCTAATAAAATTATCCTTGCCTGTAGAAAGATTTAACAAAATAATTTTCAGTGGTCATATAACCTAAGAAGTATAAGTTATATGAACAGTATTAATCGGATTAATAATATATTAATGGATATTACAATTATTATCTGATTATTAATAATTACAGTAAGTATTACCAAGGACTCTGAATGGTCTTGGAAGGGAGGAGGTTTATGAGGATGATGTGATGAAAGACAATCCTGAATGGCAAACTGCCCTAGGAAGACAACTGCTAAACTCTGTTACCCTTTCCCATTTCTCTCACTTCTAACAAGAAAAAACAATCTTAAATGATACAGATGGATAAAACATAATAAAAAGAAAAGCATTTGTATAGGAGAGTGGGTGACCATGTGGTAGGTAAAGATAGATGTCAATGAGATTTTAAGGCTGAAGGAGAAAGCTCCCCCCTCAAAAAAACCCCAAAAGCTAAAATGTATTTATTTCAATGAACAAAACAAATCATAAAAAAAATCTTTAGCTTTGTATAGTAGCTGATATATGAGTATGACCAAGATTATTTATGGATTGCTCATGTTATTTCTGTTGGTGAATCCTGATTGCTTAGATATGCAAACATTGAAACATGTAAACAGCAGAGTTTCAGAAAGCATGTTCTAACAATAAAAACATATGGCAAAGAGTGAAGAATGGGCAAGATAACACATTGCAGGAGTGAAAGAGTTGGAGGATAAGCTCAAGCAGTTATACGAGAGTGATGAGGAAAAAAATATTGAAAGATGAGAGAGATGATGATGTGCTTGTATTTCCTCATTTATTCATCTCTGTCTCTCTAAACAAGTTTAGGTTTGGAGGAGCCCTGTTTGATCTGGTTGGAGGTTTCATCATTGACTTTTTATTCTAATAAAAAGATATTTTAATGTGACAGGCTTTAGTGTCTGTGATATCGCCATTGTTTGCAAGTCAACTTCAACCATTAGCAAACCTGAAGGAAAGGGTAGAAATGGCCCATGAGGTTTCTCAGGTTATAATCTATGATGGTAGACTGAATAACTCTTGGAATTTGAAATGCCAGCTTTTTTGTTAGAGTGCTTAAACACTGAGTCACAAGCTCAGAAAGAACAACATCAACAACAAAAGAGACATTTTCCAATAGTCCAAAAACTTGTTTTCCTGAAAGCTTCCATTTCACCACCCAGTGAACAATGGAGTAACCATACCTGAGCAGTCGACCTCTGCATTTTGGTTGTGATTACAATAATGATTCCCCCAGCCCAGGGAAGGGCATGACCACACATAGGACTCCTGTCCAGTGCATTCTAGGAAGTCTAGCCAGATGGGTCCTGATCCTGAATCAGTATGAGCTGAGGTCTTGGCAATAAGGGCTCTTCCACAGCCTAGCTGTCTGCACACCACGTCGGCATCCTTCAAATCCCATTTGTAATCACAGATGGTGCCCCAGTAACCCTGGTAAAGGATCTCCACTCTCCCAACACAGCGGCTGTGTCCATTAACCAGGCGAAGTTTTCTGCTGTCTGCAAAGAAGAGTCACAGTTTAATACTTATACGGACTTGGGAGCTGTGTTGGCATCGTGCTTATGTATGGGTATTATGCTGCTGATAGACCAGCAGCGCAGATCTACCAGCTTCTCTGCAAGACTGCCATTAAAATTCACAGCCTCAAAAACCTGACTGAAGTTTGCAATGAGCTAAAACTGACTTGCTGGCAATGGATATACAGAATTTAAAAAGGCTATCTTTGCTTTTTGCATTCCTCACCTGAGCAGTTGGCAGTACTGAAGTTGGAGGCATCAGAGTCTGTTGGGTCAGATATGAAGTCATTGCATCTGGGTTGCAGCTGGGTCTTGTTTTCTACAGGAACATGGTTATAGGTTATTAGGGTTGATGAACTGAAATAACCTAGTGAGAGGTCTCATTAGAATAGCTAGAAGCTGCTATATAGAGCCTATTGGAATATATAGTGTCTGCAATATGGCATTTTGGGAAAGATCGGAGAAGGAAATAATAAAAATGTCACAATTTGATATGATACTTGCTGATGTTGTTGTTATGTTCCGTCAAGTTGCCTGCGACTCATAGTGACCCTGAGCCAACCTTGTTGTCTCTGACACACTTACCCCCATTACCCCAGTCACTGAGTAAATCTATCTCATCGAGGATCTTTCTTTCATGTGCTGTGCCTCCACCCTTCCAAGCATAATGTCCTTCTCCAAGGACTGGTCCCTCCTTGCAACATGCCCAAACTATGTCAGATGGAGCTTCAGAATCCTTGCATCTAAGGAGGAGCCTTCTCCAAGACAAATCTGTTTGTTTTCCTAGCAGTCCATGGTATAGTCAATACTCTTCTCTAGCACCACAGCTCCAAGGCATAAATTCTCTATCATACCTAGTCATTGTCCAGCTTTCTGATGCATAGCATGTAATTGTGAAGACAATGGCCTGTATCAGGTGCACTTTAGTCTCCAGACTGACATAATTTCTCTTCTGTACTCTGGAAATGTCCCTGGCAGCCGACTCTTAATGCAATACATCTTTTTATTTCCTGGCTACTGGTATCAAAAGTGTTGCGTATGGAGCCAAGCAAACAGACAATAGAAATGCCAAAAGCCATACCTTGACCAGTTGGCAATGTCTCTTCCTGAGTGAGCAGAATTTGCTAGAATTTGAATGGGAATTCAGTCAAAGAGGTGCTAGCATGGACTGTAATTTGGATTGTTTCCACACAGTCATAGCCATTGACTCGAGAGCTACAGGTTGTTGGTCTGGAGTTAAAGGAAAGAGAATGGAGCTACGAACTGGGCTGCTCAGCAGAAGTCTCAGGCAATAGCTGCAGATTCAGTAGCAACCAGATTTGTTCTAGTCATGCCACCATTCAGAACTGATGAAATGAATGAACCATGAGAGAGGCTATGGTTTACCTCAGCATATTTAATTTATAATTTTAAGATTTAAACTTCAAAAGTTAGTAGTTAATTGAACATAATTAACTTTCTGAATAAATTAGACATTTTCATCTGAGACAAAATGTTAAAGAATAATAATTTATCTGGGAGGCATAGGGTATCACTTTCTTCTCACATGAAATCTTTTCATTACTTTGATCTCACATCAAGAGCTAGTACTATTCAAAAGTTGTTGTTTGAGATGTGCTGTTGCGTTGCTTGCAACTCACAGTGACCCTGTGTACAACAGCCCTGAACTCTGATCTATCTTGAACCAACTTCATTGTTTCTGACACACCTACTACACATTACCCCAGTAACTAAGTCAATTCATCTCATTCAGAGTCTTCCTCTCTTGCACTGTCCCTCTACTCTTCTAAGCATGATGTTCTTCTCCAAGACGGGTCCTTCCTTGCGAAATGTTCAAAGTGCTTCAGGTAAAGCTTCAGAATCCTTGCCTCCTAGGAGCAGCCTGATTTCACCCTCTCCACAAAGTACCTGTTTGTTCTCTTAGCAATCCATAGTATATCCAATAATCTTCTCTAGTACCACAGCTCTAAGGCATCAATTCTTCTATCATCCTTGGTTATTGTTCGGCTCTCTGATGCATAGCAAGTAATTGTGAAGACCATGGCTTAGATCAGGTGCACCTTAGTCTCCAGACTGACTTAATTTCTCTCTAGTACTATTCAAAAGTTAGAGTTTTTTTATATCTGAGAGAAGCAAAACATATATTTCTTTTTTTTCTTTTTGTAAAACATATATTTCTAACCCCATCACAAAGTCAAGTTATATTGCTGCTTAAAGATTTGAATCCCACTCTATTACTATTCTCTTCTTTCTGCACATGAAGAAAGTGATGAAAAGAGGAGTCAAATAACCTCCATCAATGCTGAACTTTCAGTTAACAGTGAAGTAGAGATTTTAACTGAAAACCTTTACTTCCATGAAGGATGGGTGAGTCTGATGCTTCTATTATAGGAAACCAATAAAATAAGTAACTATTTAAAAAATGTTCCAATATTTAAAAGCATTCTCAATTTGTGGAAGCAGCACAGACTAAAATTTTAAGGAATAGAAATTATTTAGAAGACCTAAGGATATACAGTTTCTTCCCCCCCTCCCCACCTCCTTGGAATTTCCTTAGATAGAATAAAGACTAATGGTAGAGAATTTGGTATTAGAAAAGGCAGATAGTTTTTGGTGGGGCAACTAAACTAGTATGTCCTGCTGGAGTGACAAAATTTGATAATTGAGACCATTACCCCAAACCAGATTTTTATGCTCAAATATTTGCCAATATTAAAGCTATGAAGGAAGGAGACAAAATAACTAAGCAAAACACCCTGAAAACAGGGTAAATATTTCTTTTATTCTCTTGTTGCTAAGTGACAAAAGATACCCTAGACCCTCATTTGTAAGCCCCGAAATCCCATGACATTAAAACAAGGTGAAACAGAGACAGACTGATGTGCTTTAAAACACATTCCATTGTTTTTCAATGTTACATAATGTTCCATTATGTGGATGAGCTATAGTTTCTCTATCCAGTTATTTGTTAATGAACACTTGGGCTGCTTCCATCTTTTTGCTATTGTGAACAATGCTGCAATAAATACGATTGTGTATACATCTGTTTGTGTCACAACTCTGATTTCTTTGGGGTATATTCTCAGTAGTAACACAACTGGGTCAAATGATTTCCATTTTCAATTTATTTTTTGTATTTTCATATTTCTGTTGTTTTTATTTGATTTTGCCATTTTGCCTTAGGCTAGCAATTTTGCAGATATCACTTTTTCTAATGTTGTTGTTATGTGCCGTCGAGTCGTTTCCGACTCATAGCGACCCTATGCACAACAGCCCTAAACCCTGCTCTATCCTGCGCCAACCGCAC